GGGGGGGGGGAGACCGTAGTCAAAAATTTTAGGGATTAAAATCCATTCAAATTTAAAATCCTATAGACGTAATCTGAATTGAAAATCAGATTTTTGTGAAACAAAATCAAGATTTTAATCGATTGGAATCAAAATTATAATCAATGCCGATCGATTATCAGAAACTTCTAATCGATTTCTATTTATTATAATTTTAGTTGCAATCGATTAAAATTTTGATTTTGTTTCACAAAAATCCGATTTTCAATTCTGATTTTAATCTAATTATAACTTGATTTTTTCCTACGATAATCCAATTAATAGCTTTGATTATAGTCTATTAAGAAGTTCATTTGTAAGCCATTATAATATGCCATTTGTTTTATCGAAATCATGAATAAAATCGTTATGACTTGTAGTCCAGATTAAATTTCCCTAATATTCCGAGCTTCTTAGAATTTGTACTCGTGAATGACACTGTAGGTTGAAGAAGCCTTGAAAATTAGTGAAATCGTAGAAATAGAGCATGTCACATACCATTCTCTAACCAATCCGAACCTCACTCAACTTCTCTAATATGAATAAGAGAAATCTAAACAGTTCATCATGAGTGTTACTTGCTAAGACAATTATTTATTTTCTCAGATGTTCAATTCCTCCATACCCTGCTGTATAGGTAGTCGCCACAAGAAATAAATCCAAACAGCTAATCTTTGCAATTTTTGATTCAGACGTTTGTTGCAAGTCTCAAAGAAACTATGACTTTATTAGTACATATAAATTTTCCAACTGTTGTCTAACTAACAGTGAAGTTCCTAGGTCTTCAACATATCCTTGAGTTCAATGGGAAAGTTATCTATTTGCCATCTCTTGAAATTTGTTTGAACTTTGCATTCGATCAGATGCAGTTATCGAATTCCAGAACTATTTCTTAATGAGAAGTATTCTTTTTAGAACTAATTCTCCCATTTCTCAATGTTTTTGTCTTGCGTCAAGTTCAATCGACGAGGAAACCGATCAAGATGGATTTCTAAAAGACCTATTCTAAGTTTTATTTAGAGTAGACAAAGCCTTCATGATTGATTCTTTCAGTCGCATGAATTTGACCAATGACAAAAAAGTCCAAAAATTGGAGACTTGGTTCTACAAAGAATGCTTATCGTTAAGAAATAGTTCTGGAATTCGATAACTGCATCTGATCGGAATGCAAAGTTCAAACAAATTTCAAGAGATGGCAAATAGATAACTTTTCCATTGAGCTCAAGGATATGTTGAAGACCTAGGAACTTCACTGTTTGTTAGACAACAGTTGGAAAATTTATATGTACTAATAAAGTCATAGTTTCTTTGAGACTTGCAACAAACGTCTGAATCAAAAATTGCAAAGATTAGCTGTTTGGATTTATTTCTTGTGGTGATTACCTATACAGCAGGGTATGGAGGAATTGAACATCTGAGAAAATAAATAATTGTCTTAGCAAGTAACACTCATGATGAACTGTTTAGATTTCTCTTATTCATATTAGAGAAGTTGAGTGAGGTTCGGATTGGTTAGAGAATGGTATGTGACATGCTCTATTTCTACGATTTCACTAGTTTTTTAAGGCTTGTTCAACCTACAGCATCGTTCACAGGTACAAATTCTACAAAACCTGAAATATTAAGGAAATTCGGTCTGAAGAGAAGGTCGTCATGGCTCACTCTCGAAAGAGCTGTCTATTCTAAAATACTGTTAAAATTCGAGCTCAAGAAAAAGAAACACAGATTTTTTCGATGAAAAATACACAGGAAAAAATTGTTCATCACAGGGGTAAGCCTTCCGCTTTTTTCAAAGTAATTATATATTCAAGAATTGTGATATCTGTTGTTCGACTTCAATCGCTTTTTTGTTCTGGGTGATGACTGATCCCTCCTAAAAGTCTGACAGCATCTTGCACGCTGTGAAAACTCAACAGTCTGGTCACTCCTTATTCATGACTCTATGCCGCATTCTGGCAGTAACTGCCTGCAAGATTTTGCAAAGTCGAACAGGATCTGCTCTACAAATTATATACATTACTAAGCAAATATTTTTCTGTATTGATAACACAGGATACTAATAGGTTCCGATTTCGATTTTAGCAAAATTGTTGGCAGGGATGGGAGATAAGAGTTTGCAACAATATCATCAGGCAGCCGTAAAGATATGCATTAAATTTTTGTAATAGGATTCTTGTAGAATTATTAGCTTTCTCTGACTGAGATCTCAGAAAGATGATAACAGGACGAGTCTGAAGCCTGAACTGAACCATTATATAGAAGTTTGATTATGATCTGTTAGAGAAATTTCGAAAATTATAGCTGGTAAAAGCTTGCTAACTGATATCAAACCCAAACAAATTGCTATAAAAAACATGCTATCAGATGAAGATTTTTTCAAAATCATCTTTCACTCAACTCGGCCTGGTGCGTGTTTTCAGAGAGTTTTCGAAGACCTTACACAGTGATTATGCAAAATATCATGAGAAAATGGAGGAAACTTTCGTATAAGTTTTGGCTGAACTTCGTGAAGCATGGTCTCAAATCATGTAAATCTTTAGATCAGGAGATAAATTCAATGGTGATACTGACTAAGATGGACAAGGATAAAAAATAAATTTTGTGAAATCGAAATTAGGAAAAGTATTAAAATGTTTTCAATTTAAAATAAACTGTAATCGGGGACATTCTATTTTAGAAATTTGCTTAAATAGATTTTGTCCGCATAAAACATAAAGAACTTTAACTTTAAATCGATCATCTACATATCGACTGTTGAAATTATATACTACATCATCGAACCAATCCAGTAGCGTAAGCCGATCGATTTATACACTTTAGGCGTAAAGATCAATACTCATGTGCCCTTTTTCTTTTGACCTCTTTAGAATTTTTATGGGTATCTCTCCAAAAACATGCTACCATCTTGCCCAGCGACCTATAAAATCGTGAAAATATTACCAGGAATCCTTTAATTATGGATGGTTGAAATCGTGCAAGCTTCTAATCTAGAAATATAGAAATAATGCCAAGGTGCTGCTAATATCTTGTTAAACATTCTGATTAAGTCTTTCGCATTCGTTCGTTAAAAATTTGCTGTAGGAGGGTGCGAGTGTGGGTATGGGATGTGGTTAACTTGGGTATCAACATCCACATCCAGTGGTCCACTGAGCATCGCACGCTGATACATTGCTGATATTCAGACACCAATATTCACTGATATATGACACATCCATACCAGTGCATGTTGGTAACCAAATGTCGAAAGTATGCACTGATACAGTGTAGGCAGTGTTTAATGCTCAGTGACTCTTTGATGCTAGCACCAGGTTTTTCAGTCGTTCACTGGATCCATTCTTTTCTACACCCAATGTGATATGAAAAACCTCAAAATCACAAACCTCCTAAGGCCTTCTATTCAGAGTTATAGATATTTTACTGCAATTTTAGCCTATGGCACCGTATATTTCAACAAAGTGAATGATGGTAGCTCGAATTGAGACTTTGCCCATGAACAGGTCTATTTGTGAGTAACACGTACTGCGACTTTCAGCTCTAAAGAATGTTCTCTTTCTGAGATATAAAAGCTCCGAAATTTGCTTGTATTTCATGAAATAAGCTAGTTTTTTGCTTTTCAGGACTTGAACATCTGAGAAGAGAGCATTTTTTGAGCTCAAATTTTCAGATCATCTCATTCACAAATAGCCCTGTTTGAAAGTAAAGTCTCAGCTCGAATTACTATTTTTCAATTTGTTGTCATATGCTGTGCCATAGGCTGAAATAGTAGTAAAATGTCTATAATTAATTCTGGAAAGAAAACGTTAGGAGATTTATTACTTTGACCAAGGAAGTTGCTGAAAAATTCTACCTTTCGAAATGAGTATGCTAGTTTGAAAGAGCATAAAAAGTTACCAGGAAACCCAAATTACGACAAGTTTTCGACCACATCTTCTAATACTTCGACAACCTAATACTTTTCACCAAAAAATATCTGTTTGTTCAACCCTATGGTTTTTCAATCGCTTTTGTTAATGAATTATTTCCTCAGAAAATTTGTCTAAATCCATTATTAAATTGTATCTTTTCATAAACGAGAAGCTGCTCAACAAAACTGTGCTTTATATATTCCATTACATACTCTGTAAACCAGAGAAACTCATCATAATAGGTGAAATCGACTATTTTTTTATTCATTTTGTATGCTTTGTTTTATCACTCATATCTAGGTATGCACCAGTTCCAGTCATGACTGGTACCCAGTCCGACTGGATACCCAGTCATCAATCAGTTAATCTTTAATTTATTACATGCATAATACCTCCCTCTTTCTTATCAGATTATCATAAACTCATCTTAACCTATTAAAGCGCTAATACGAGTTATATCATAGAATTAATAATCAATTATTTCCATGATATGAGTCGTATTAGCTCTTTAATTGGTTAACATGAGTTTATGATAATCTGATAAGAAAGAGGGAGGTATTATGCATGTAATAAATTAAAGATTAAATGATTGATGACCCAGTCATGACTGGGTACCAGTCCGACTGGGTACCAGTCATGACTGGGTACCCAGTCGGACTGGTGCATACCTACTCATGTCTCTCCTCTACGGTTGATTTTCGAGAACCTATGGTAATGGAAAATTCACGACAATCTTGCTCAAAATACATGATTTTTACAATTTTTATGAAAATGTGTGTGGATTTTTTTTATCAAAAGATCACTTATTCTCGAGAGAATTCAAGTTTTTTAGTGGAAGATCTGGAAAATCATTCGAAACACGATCAAATCTTCATGCATGCTCTTTTTTCCTGCCGATAAAAGCAAACAACTGAACAAATACTTCATTGAGGGTACCTGGTACCGAACCATTTCTCAGTTACAAGTTAGGGATATTTGTTGAATTTAACATTGTACTAATGTCCGCGCCAGAATTAAAAGGGGTTTGGTATAAGTGCAATAACTTGATAATGGTAATAGCTGACGAGATGCAATTTTCACTAATTGAAAGAGGAGAGGTTGAAATGTATTTTTCCCATAAATGTGTAAGACGAAATTCTTTAAAAACTGATCATCTTCGGAAAACATGCAAAATAAAGGATGTAAATGACTTCCCATCTAGATTAAAGTTTACTTGCGACCTCTGATTTAGATAGAGGAACCCCAGATTTGCAGTTCAAAATACAATATGCTTTCTTACATTTCATTGCATCTTCATCGAGATGTCAAACTATTATCATAAAAAGTTCGAAAACCTGGTGAAAATCGAGCGAAATTTCTTTATATTTGCGCATGTTAATACATGATTCGCTGGGCTTCCTCTTGCTTAATCAGAGGTCAAAAGCAAAATTTAATCTAGATTGAAAGTCATTTACATCCTCTATTTTGCATGTTTTTCGAAGATGATCAGTTTTTAAAGCATTTTGTCTTATACATTTATGGGAAAAAATAGATCCCAACCTCTCCTCTTTCAATTGGTGAAAACTGCATATTGTCAGCTATTACCGTTATCGAGCTATTGCACTTACACCAAACCCTCTTTAATTCTGACGCAGACATTACTTAAAAGATGATTTCTCTTAGGCATGTCTTCATGGATATAAAACTTGGGCACGCTTCTATCATAAGTAAAAACAACAGCTCATTTACTCGAGTCGTAATGGAGATATTCAACTTGTTTTATCGGTTAAGTAATTTTTGCATCGCCTTCTATGCGTTTTTCCATATATGTGATAAAAGTAAAATTTTATTGTTGAAGTAACTAGGCGTACTTAAAAAAATGATTTTCTTTGGCCTTGTCTTTATGGATATGAAATGTGAACAAACCTTTACTAATAGTAAAAGAAACTAAGGTTTTTGCTCCAGTGGTAACAAAGATATTCAAATTTTTCTTGGTAAATTGACTTTTGCGCCACCCTATATACCAGAGATGGGCACAGTTCGATTCATTTTTCGAAAAACCCGAACCGTACCCATATCTGTTATATAAATCTAGCAGCCTCATTTACTATCTAATGCAATGTTTGTAATAATAACAATGTTAAATTAAGAAAAAAGAGTCGCGAAAATGGAAAATACTAAACAAACAGCATTAATAAAAATGAAAAAAAAATGGCGTCTATCACGAAACGAAAAAATTCTTAATTTTACGTTTTCTATATTTTCAATTAGAATAATGAACCTGAAGAACACATGCGAGTTTCAAATTTCAATCACAGAGGTGCTATGCTAATAAGCTTTTTTTTTCTATGCTCATCGTTAACATCATGAGGAGAATACGAACCACTCATCCATGTTACTTCGGGTAAGAAAAAAGAAAGATTCATAGTAATATTTTATACAGTTAATGATGGATTTATGCTCAATTCTGCTTATTTCTTGGAAAAATGCACACTGACACCAAGGCTAAGATAAAAACAATCTATTAACAACTAATTCTAAATTACTATTAAAAAAATCTTGAATTTCTTTGCCATAACAACAACTTTTATTTTTGAGAAAACGAAATGTTTTGTGATTCGAATCTTTGTTCCATTTAAATAGTCTTGAACGAAAATAACGGTAAATGTGTGATTTTATTTTGTTTGTTTCTCAATATGTCATTGACATAAAACTAGTACCTCCGATCCTAATTCAGCTTTAATATCGATATGTATGCTTACCTTATTCGTTAAAATACAATATGACGTTATTTGAAGCGCAAGCATGGCAAAATTACATTAGCTATATGATGCGATGTAGATACAACATACTAACAAACAATTGGTATTAAAGGAAAGAAAAAAATCAACGAAGTATGAATATAAGAGAAAAGAAGAAAAACAAACGTATGTAACCTCAATCTTCATCACATATCGAAACTGACTTAATAGATGGCTCTTTAGTATTAAATACTGGCGTAGAATAGCAAATACTTATATTCATTTCTTTCGATTTAGAAAATCGTTTTAAATGCATGAGCTTATTAAACGTTTTCTGTTCATTAATTTTCAAGGGTAGCAAATATGCTGTATTATTATTGCATTTACAGTATGAGATGATTTGGCTATTCGAATAACAAACACATATACGCAGTGCCTATTTTCTATTAATGATAGGATTGTTACAAAAATACGTACGCTGTTGAATGCTTATAAATTAAGCTAATGGTTATAAAACAAACCATTTAAAGTTAAGATATAATGTGAATATAACATTACTAGCAACAGCTCTTTCAATTCTTATCGTTTGAGATTGAATTTTAGTCTAAAGGATTCAGCGTTTAATTTTCTACATAATCATACACAAATGTATGTTATAGACAAAGCGGCACATAGTTACTGTAGAGCTACTACGAATATCTATTGTTAACAATCGCAGAAAGGATGAAAGTACAGTAAACCCTCGCTAATGTGAACACCGTCGGGATCAACAAAAACGTTCAATATATCGGGGTGATCATAAAGGAGAGGTTACAGCAAAAATAAATCTATATATCATTTATCACTATTTTAAACGTTATTTCAACTAGATTTTATCATTTTATTCAAGAAAGTGTTGTAAATTATAACTGAATAGTTATTAACACAACAGAATTAAATAACTAATGAAGACTTTTTAAACACGTTGAAAATATTCATAAAGAGTTGTTTGTTTTGAATTATTCCCGTCGAGATATATATCCATAAGCTTCGATTGAAGTTGAACAATGTGGGAATGTAATTCAGGATATTTAACTGTTGACAATAAATGAAGACCATGAATCATTTTTATTGCTTCTAATAATGATGGTGGTTCTTCAATCACTGCATCGTTTTCTGGAGCTACATCTTCACTTGAAAATCCATCAGTTGTTAATATCTTCTCGACGTTGTCATCCCATATATTGAACGTTGGTACGTCGTCATCAATGCTCTAAAAAACTCAACAAACAAATTGTCAAACGTTTTCTATAATTAACTTCAAACTGGTTTGTTGAGAACTTACCACGAAGTCACTTGCTGACATTACATCACCACCAATGGTTATATGTTTAAGTGCTTTGCCAAGTTCAGTAAGACTTGAATCAACGAGTATAATATTTTCATTTTCAGGTGTTGTTGTTGATGTTGCATTTGAAGCAGGAATAGAAGTTTTAAAACCAGCTGATTTAAACGTATCTTGAATTGTTGCTTCAGTTACAGATTTCCAAGCACTGTCTATCCACCAGATTGCATCTAATGCATTAATCTTAATATCTTCAACTGAAGAAGCTGAACTGACATTTGCTATTATATGCTGTATCAATTGTTTTCTATAATGGGCTTTAAAAGCCCTAATTGATCCTTGATCTAATGGTTGAACTTTGGCAGTCGTATTTGCTGGAAAGAATTTAAGAGTGATATTGTTTAATTGAATGTCAACAGGATGCACAGGTGCATTATCTAAAAATAACAAAATCTTGCGATTTTGTTTTTGCATCATGATGTCAAAATCATACAACCATTTAGAAAAAATAACACTGTTCATCCAGGCAGTTCTATTATAAAACCATGTAACCGGTAATTTTTTAACATCAAGACCTTTGAAACATCTTGGACGAGAAGATTTACCTAAAATAATATAAAAGATAATAAACAGATGATAATGGAAGAAACAAAGAAATTCTTACCTATTACTACCGGTTTTAGCTTGTGAGTGCCCGTCCAATTAGTACACAAAAGCACAGTATACCTTTCTTTTGAACGTTTACCACCGTTGCAATCATCTGTTCTAATAACAAATGAACGATCAGGTATTAATTTAAAAAATAATCCAGTTTCATCGCAATTGTAAACATCACATTCATTATAACCTTCAAGAATTATTGGCAAACGTGATGTCCAATCTTCAATTACATCATGATTTACAGCTGCTGCTTCACCACATATCATCCGGAACTGAACATTGTATCGAGATTTGAATCGATCAAGCCAACCATTGCTGGCTCGAAATGCACCTGTATCACCTAATTCACCAGCAATCTTTCGAGCATATGTCTGCAAAATTGGACCGGATATTGGAATTCTTTTTGATCTTTGGAGGACGAACCATTCATACACTCCGTCATTAATCAGTCGATTGAGATCATTGTTTGTTTTTCGTTTCATCTTTTTATTCTTGTTACATTCATAATCATCCAAATATTCATTTTTTCGTTTAAGAATATTAGATACACTTCCAATAGAAACATTAAATTTGTCTCTTAATTCTCGAACAGACATGCCATTTTCTTTATCTTTTATTAATTTGACCTTTTGTTCCAAATCTAAATCATTTCTGGACGTCATGTCCAATCTGACGAATATTGAAATAAATGTATTTTATTATTTGTCTTTATTCTCTCCTCTTCTCTATTTTGATTGAATATAATTTTACAATCAACCAAATTCACGACATTAACTTTCCACAACGCCAGCTATATATTTTACTCACATTGCGCCACCTATCATTGTTCACAATGATGAGGTTATTTTGACGGTTGGGACCGTAAGAAGTGTTCACATTTCTGAATCAAGGGGTGTTCATATAGGAAAGGTATAAAACCAGCAAAATGAGCTCGGAGATTCCTGAAGGTGTTCAGTTAAACAGGTTGTTCACAATGGAGAGTGTTCAGTATGCGAGGTTTCACTGTATTTGTCAAGAGGGAAGCAACTGATTTCAATCATCTGAAAACCAAAATAAAATCATGCTAAATCATATGAAAAAATGATTTTTGATGATTTGAAATCATTTTAAAATCATTTAAAATCAAAAAATTGCAGATTGATCTTTCCCCCTTCACATTAAATTTAAATGCGTCGTGTTTATGTGTCGTATACGAATTTGTCGCGTTCTGTCTGCTGATTATTCGTTCACCGTTTTCTTATGCAGATATAGTGGAATATAAACAACATGATTGAGCACACGAAAGATAATTTTTTCAAAATATTCTTTTTTTCTAGATTATTTTTTCTATCAAGAAAATGCCAATCTTGATCCATGATCGACAGAGGACTGCCCTGAAGTGGTTTGATGCAAATCGGACCAACTCGAGACGGGACAGATCTCAGGATCTGATCTGATTGAGTTTTCAGAATAGGAATAATTAAATGGAATTAAATTGAAAAAAAGATCAAAATACGTTTTTCCAATAGAAAATATGTCGTGATGTTGCTGGATAAAATGTCTCGCAGTGAGCTCCTCGTGTCGCACTTTAATATGTCGTACAATGTGTTGCAAACCAGAACACATATGACACATTTTAACTTAGTATAGTGGTATTTGTACTTGTACTTTTCGTAACTTTTCAAGTAAATGTATTTTACTGGTACTTCAAGATGAACAGTCTAGTACCTATACTTAAGTACCAAAAAAGAATTTTGTACTTCTACTTGAATTCAGAAACAATTTATTTTTGGGCACCTGAGTTATCATTCTGTTTCATTGAAATTTTGGTAGTTACTAATAATACCAAAGCCATAAGCATAAGTTTCAGTGTTTCGTTGTAGCCGAACCACAAACTGATGCGTGTTCGGTTTTAAAATTTAATATTCGATCTTATATAAACTTTTCAATGTCCTTCTCTGAAAAAAGTCGGAGTTCTGCACAACCTTTTATGGTTCTGTAAAAGAAAAAAGGTATCCTACAAGGTGTTACATCCATTTTTTTCGTGCGAAACTATTTTTTGAAAACTTCTGACTTTCGATAAAACATAGCATCTAAAAAACTCTGCAGAGATCGCGCTTCCTTTTTACAGTAGAAAACTGTATTTAGTCAAGGTGTAAACTCATACAAGTGTCTTTATCTAGGAATATCCATCATATTTCGAGAGATTTCCACAAATGGAAACATGACTCTTATAAATGACTTGCACTGAATTTTTCAGCACATTAGCATATAAATCCTAATTAAAATATTATAGTGCTAATAAGTTTTTAACAGAAGTTAACTAAGGTACTCAGACATTTTCTTTCTAAATGAGGATCTATGGTACGGTGCGTGCGATGCATTACAAGCACTATTAAAAACATTCCATTGAAAGTAATATGCAGTTTTCGTTAACAACATCGATGGATCTAAGTCAAATAGAGTGTGTGTGGATGTGAGTATGGCTGTGGGGGTGTTGGTGTGTGTATGTCTATGGTTCATCCACACCCTTATCCACAGTCACATCTATACCCACAGCCACACCCCATCCACATCCTTCAACGAGAAATACTTGGATAATAATCTATTGTAGTTCCATCGTCATCATCGTCATAAACTCATTCTTTTCGTTTAGATGATTCATTAATAAGAGTACATACACGAAGAGATTGTTGAATGTACTAAGTTCGACCTATTCATTCTTGACTCAACTTTGGTTCAGGTAAAAGTAGAATAATAGAATCAGTTTGTACATCAATATGATTAATCAACGAATAAAAAAAATCACTTAGAGCTATTTAAAAGTAGTGATGGAGATATTTTATTTTCGTATAAAAATCTGAAAGAAATTTTTTTTCTGTATGAAGTAATAATCAACACGGCACTCTATTTTTCTGTGCAATTAACATACTTCCTCAAGTAAAAATTATAAGGAATAAAGTTTCAATAGTACTTGTTTTTCAGTCATATGTGACAGTTATACTAATGCCTATGTAATAAAAAGACCGTGTTTATGTTTTTTGAAATAACTTTTGATATAGACAAGACAATGAGTTGCGGATTTGATCATTCAAAAGAGAAGGGAAAATATATTCATATACTATAAGTTATCTTTTGAAAAGATTTTTTTTATAAAGGTTTTCAATAGACTTCTTTGGCAACAAACTTTCAATTGAGTGTGGATGTGGGTGTGGGGTGAGTATATGAATATCTTCAACCACGTCCCACCACCACACCCTGTTTACATTGAATATCGAGATATAACAACTTTTTCATATTTATAGTGTAATGGAGAGCATGGTCAGAAATAATTTATATGATCTAAAACGAATTTTTCTTAAACGAGAATTTTTCATTGAAATCAGTTACTTGATTGTATGAATTAGTATTCGAAGCGGGTGACGAACATTTCCTACTAAGTCATTCCGAATTCCGAACATGTGTCCAGGTGTTCGGAAATGACTTTTTGTCTTAAAAAATATTCGACAGAAGTTCATAATCCTTTTTGAACAGTAGATCGTAATCGAAAACACAGGGACATCACAAAGGTGTTATCGGGAATTCGGTATGGAATGATGATAACTACAGAGTGTTCCAAAAGTATAGTAACAAAGTTTTTTTTCGATTTTTTTTTCTTATAGATCGTCAGTTAGCTCTCATATTTATACCACAGATACTAGATGACATAAGTAAAAGATCTAGCATATGAACAATATCTGAATATAGTAATTTGCTCAAAAGCATACAAATATAGAAGAATCAGTAATAAGGTAACAGGTCTGAGTTCTAGCAAAACTTTTATGAAAGCAACAGAACAGCAAAATTACACGTACAAAAGTATGTCTTGGTAAAGTCTCTGCAGTACGAAGCTTTTTACAAAAGTTGCTCAATGTATTCACCTTCTAAGTCTTTGCAAACTTGCAGTCTCTCAGGTACTGATTGACAAGAATTTTGACATAACTCCATTGGTAACCTCCACATCTTTCTAATAATATCATCTTTGAGTGCTTGAAGATTTTGGGGTTTTGTTGCATACACACGTCTTTTATCACACCCCATAAAAAGAGTCGGTCGGTGTCAAATCTGATGATTGTGCTGGTCAATCTATCGATCCACGCCGACCAATTCATCGATCAGGGAATGTTTTCGATATTCAATAGCAGGAACAATTTCTTTATCAAGCATTTTCAGATAGCTGCTTCCAGTAACTCTATCACGAAAGAAGAACGATTCAATAAGGCCTCCAGACCAAATTCCGGCCCATACAATAATGCCTGGAGCATTAATTTCCTGGGTAATGACGACATGAGGATTTTCTGTAGCGTAGTAAACGCAATTATGTCGATTGACGTGTCCATTCAACTTGAAAGTAGCTTCATCGGTTCACACATGTCGATCAAGGAACAAAGAGCCTTTAGTGACCAATTCCAGAAAGATATCAACAGATTCTCAGCGTCTGTCAGGATTATCATCGCTTAAAGGATGTAGTAATCGAGGATAATAAGGGTGTGGGTGTGGGTGTGGAGTGTGGGGTATGGGTGTAGGTGCAGCTGTTTCTTGCATTCACAACCACACAGCTGCGCCCCACACCCACACCCCACACCACCCACAACCACACCCACACACCGACACCCAATGTAAAGAGAAGAGAGAAAGAAAATATAAGATAAGGTTGCTCTTTTCTATTTGAAAAAATCAATGTTTACTGCACGTAAGATAACAATTTTATTCCTTTTGAGAAAATAAAGAGAATAAAGCACATGTATCCGTCACAGTTAAAAGAAAAATTTCTTTCTTGAGTGAAAAAATAAATGGCCAGTGCTTCCACATTTCGTGCATGCGTTCTTTTTCGTCCACGTAATTTTCAATGATACTGGAATTCGGCTACAGATCCGTGGTCTGATGAGCCAGAACAATGGCAAAAGTATACTGACGCTGAAAATGAAATAATTGAAGACGCCTACAAGGAGCAGAGACCACAGGTAAAGATTGATGACGGCTACGTGCTTGATTTCAAACAACAAATTCAGTATGAAAAAGATGATCAACATAGGCAACATCCAATAAAACGTGTTCAACTTGAGAGAGATCGAAATAATGTTCATATACGTGAAGAGCGATTTTCATCATCAGTAACACTCACTTCCACATCAACCGCTGAATCACGAACGATTAGTGATCAATTGACTATTTGGCAAAAGAACAATCTCGCTTCGGCTGATTATGAATGTAAATTAGAAAACAAAAATAACACTCTTGCTGACATTGTTGAAGAAGTCGCAGAAGAAATGATAAAAGAAGGAACAGCTGTTGGTAAAACACATGAAGCACAGTGATTAGCTGAACAACTCTTGACAGTGAAACAAACAGGTGCCGAGATTCAAGTGATAGAGTACGAGACTAATATTCCATATGTCATTAGTGAGACCTGTGTCTATTTCTACACGAAAGAATCATTTTGGTACAAACTGCTCAATCGAGTTACTCGTGATCTCAGATCAATCACTCTTGAACATGTAAACACACTGGGACCATTCTGTTAGGTACTCTTTTGGTTCCTTTGCCACAATCACACTACCGACATCCTTACAGTCTATCGTAGCTTAAATTTAGATGAAGAACAACGTCAGAAGTTCATGGAAACAAGGATTAAATTTACATCATTTACATCAACAAGTGAAAATCGATATGTGGCTGAGTTTGACGACGGAAATGCACTACTTATCATCGATTTAGATGTGAAATCTTGTTGGAGTAAATAAAATGAAAATGCTTTTTGTGGTGCAAATATCTCTCATTTATCTGATTTGCAGATTGAAGAAGAATTTTTGATTTGGCCTAATACAACGTTTGGCTTCGTTAAATATGAATATGATAATGCAAATAAGTATCATCCCATTTATCTCAAATCCGACAAAGGAAATTGGGTTTTTTGATACGAGCAATTATCTTTTTTCTAAAAAATGACTTGTAAACGAATTTTGTTTGCCTATGGAAGGAGAAAGTGCCACATAAGCTAGAATGTGTTTTAGACAGTCATATATACATATGTAATTGAAAACTTGATTCAGACTTTCTATCACATGCTCTAAAAGCTGCGAAACATTCTACCGTTCTGACAATAATTTCAACGATTTTAGATTCAAATTAACTAAGAGGTGTGGGTGTGGGTGGGTGTGCATTGTAAAAAAATAGGTACTTTCCTGAACCCTACAAAAAGGTTTCGTAGGTGTCTAAAAGCTTCCAAACGCTTAAAAAACGATTCTTAAAATCTACGAAATCTTTAAAGGATCTGACCGCGGATACACGTTCCGAACCATCTTCTACGAAACCTTTTTCAAGTTCCGTACAGAGAAAAAAGGTTTCGTAAGAAAATACGAAACGTTGATAGTTTCCTAGTAAACCTAATAATTTCATAAAAAACCATAGGCAAAACCATTAGGTTTACTAGGAAACTATTAAGGTTTCGTAGAAGATGGTTCGGACCGTGTATCCGCGGCCAGATCCTTTAAAGATTTCGTAGATTTTAAGAATCGTTTTTTAAGCGTTTGAACGCATTTGGAAGCTTTTAGACACCTACGAAACCTTTTTGTAGGGTTCAGGAAAGTACCTATTTTTTTACAGTGTAGAATCTTCACCAAAGAAAAGTAATAATCTTTTTGCTAGGAGCGATTTGAATGTAAATGATTGAAAAATAGAAAGTACTTTTTAATGGCTTACACTATATCATGTTTTAGAAGAGCCATACTATTTGTCACATGATATCAAAGCTATTATTGATTTCATTCTAGTTAATCTACTTTTTGAATATGATACTTCAAAGAAAACTGATACCTGTTATTGCAATCAATTATAGATTATTTGCGGAGGACTATTTTTCAGGGGACCTAATGCTACATCGTGACAATTACTCTTCTTATTTTTGACTTAGTGTTACAGCTATTTAAAGTACGATTTCATATAATAATTGTTCATTTGACTTTGGAATGTTTCTGTTTTTTTTTCTGCTGTTTTGCACAATTGGGCTTGAACTGACAATAGCTGTTCTTTTTGTATTTTTGGCGAGAAACTCAACAGAGACCGTGTATAAGAGATCGTACAGAAAGATTTAAAAACATGACTACGAATTTTTAGTTACCTTACTCGAGTGGATGAAATTTATTTTCTTTTTCATTTACTATTGCCTTCCAGGTAACAAAGAAGCAATGATGAAAAAATTCACCTAATGAAGTAAGTCGAGTATTACTAACATCAAAATACGACTGTGCTCGAGTGACTACAAATAGCACAGTTGTATTTAATATTGTGTTGTCAGTAGTATAGTCAATCTAGACATTGATAGAATATTGGGAATGTAGTTATTGAGAAAAACCGATTTAATGTTTTGTACTAACTGCAGTTTGTATTTGAGATCCTATATAGCTGAACTTTGATTAATCGATTTGTCTACTATCAACTCAAATAGTAATCTTCATTTGACATTATTGGAATAGATCAAAAACCGGAAGAAGTTGATAAATTTTCTTTTGAGAAATTTCGAATATACATTGGCTTAAAAATTTTCATTGTCCTTATGTATGCAAAATAACTTGCATTCATATGAATATATTTCATGTAAACTTTGAGATTTACTTTGCATTAGCATTATTGACAAAATTATGTTAATTATAAAGTTCATCGTTATTTCTACAATAATTTATTATACGGAAAGTACTGTGTACGATATTACAACTTCATCATCGAACTGGCAATCTATTCTAAGTAATTTAAAACCTGGTGATATAGCCATCATGCATCAAGGTACTTATACGACATCGGGTTCTGGATATTTTCAACTGACACTGAACGGTCAATTAACACAACCGATTATCATTCAAGGTGCACCAAACGAAGCGCGCCCAATTATAGAGAATCCAAACTCTAGTCCAGATGCTCAGAATATTCTTAACATTCAAGGATCCAATTTTATGCTCAAGCATTTGGCATTTACCAAAGGCTCCAGAGGCATACGAATAGGACCAGCTGGTAAGAATATGAAAAATTTTCTATTAGTTTCACTATCTACCATTTCATTGACATAGCTACGTTCAATGCAATATTCGATGATCTGTATATTTTTGATACTGCGACTACAGCATTCGCAGCGAACGATCCTGGAAATGAATACTATAATATTACATTGCGAAATACTGAAATAAAAACTACGAATACGTTTGGTGAGTATCCTTTCATTAATAAACCTGATGTATAGTTTGAAATTATTTGAAACGTACGCTGCACTAGGGGGCGGATGTGTCTACTTTGGTTGTGTGAATGATTTATGTCGCATACGAGATTCTCTTCTCGAACATAACTATTGTCATGATATAAACGGCCCACTAGGAGGTTTTCGGCCTGGATTTCAAGTTAAAGTAAAATTATAGACTTTATTTTGGGTTACAAGTTCTCTCGAAACATTCTTCTATTTGTAGCCTGGTTCATACAATGTAATGATTCGTAATAATGCTTGTTACAAAGTTGCTGGACCGTGCATTCTCGTTTATGATGATTATAATCGTGGACGAAATTTTATTGTGGGTAATTATGCCATCCTATCGGGCACAAATGATTTCGGCATACAATGCACATCAGGAGTAACGGTCACAAATAACGTTGTCCTCTATGCCAGTAAGTTCTTCATAAAAAATGTTTATATTCTAATAATAATTACTACTCAGTCAGAAAAAATAATATTCCCTATTCGGGTAGTTTGCCTTTTTGTGTTGTTAACAACCGATTACTTCTGAGCTGCTTAAAAAACAAGAAGTTTGTTTTGTCTTTTTCAAAACTGAAACACATCAAAAGAATCAAGTTTGACTGCGAAACGTGTATAGATACATTTGTCATAATCTGTGGTTATAATGAGATTGACATGGCATTTATGAAAGTATATCTTACAGTATCAAAGAAAACATATATTTAGATGAATCACAAAAATGAGTACTTGATTTTCTACTTGTACATCTAGCACTAATTGATGTTCGTATTACATGAGATGATGGTCGAGAGTTCCTGCTAAAGAAAGAGCAATATTAACAAACCATTTTTTTCTAAAGATCTTTGTTTTCTTCTAAGAACAATAGATAATGATAAACTCATAATGACCTAGAGATCTACTTGAATGTTTAGTCTTGAATAATGAAATAAAAATACTTGTCAATAAGCAACATAAAACTACCAACCATTATCTGCTTTTTCAATTAGATCTTGCCGGTATCGGTGTGATTCGGAACTCAATCTATCCTACTGTTGGTTACGTTCGAAATATAACTATAAATCACAACACCGTCTACATGTCGAAAACAGATGCGTGTCTTCGTCTGAATGGCTTAACGAATAATAACATTCTCATAGCAAACAATGTACTCTATTGTGGAAATCAAGCATCAATCACATCCTCTGTTAACTTAGCTGGTAAATATATTTAGTTATCTGTGCAGTATTTTCTCTGTCTTGACTGCAACTTTTGACCGTTATAGGCTATCAAATTTATAATAATGCTGTGAATGGTCCTATTGACGCTTCGGGAATTCAATCCACTGGAACTTTCAATGTCGAACGCAATGTCTTTTTTGATCCTAACAAGATGGATCTCTATCCAGCCGTAGGATCTCCGTTGATCAATGCTGGCGTACACATTGACAGTCAGCTTGTTACTTATGATTTCAACGGAAAAAGTCGATCAAATTCGAAACCATCTGTTGGTGCTTATGTGAGCTAATCTTTTTGAAATAATATTCAGTATAACATTGATATATTTTCTCTTTCTACGATCTTTAGGAATATTCTACTGAAGTGAATCCTGGTTGTAAAATAAACAGTAGTTTTAAATGTGGCTCATCTACTGCTATTACAACAAATTACTCCGTTTAACTGCACTCTAATAACAGAATATTGTCATCTTTTAAAAATTTCTCCTAAAATAATAAATTTTGTGCTAATCATAGCTCTAATTGGGTTTCACGAATGTTTGAAGTTTCAGTTCCATAAATCATAATAAAGATGAATTAAAAGCGAAAGCATTTCGTTCTGAGAAAGCCAATATAAAATCAATATCTTTACACATAAAACCTCAAAGAAGATTATCGATCTCGCTTATTTCAATATTTAACAAATTAATACTTTAAGATATTTCCAGATAAATACCAACGTTAGCGCATTTAAACTCACTTACTTCAAAAAGCTTCAGAATGATTTTAACAAGATTGCAAGTTCTTTCGCCAATCTGTTTTCAATGATAAAATCTAAATCTCTACAAAGAATTCATGCTGCATGACAAAAATTATATAGAAAATAGCGCTATGTTCACACATTTTATGATTTCACTGCTTATATGCAATTGTCATTAAAGTATTTGGTATTTGAACCTATATCAGGAGCTGAAATAGAATCTATTTGACTTGTCTTTCTTAAAAAACTGATTATATCAGTACAGTCCGTTTTAGTTAGAGATTTCGCGGTTCGCTTCTAAAAAAAGCGAGACTGATGCTATCTCTATGAAATGGGATGGTTTCACATCAAAATCGCGTAAAAATCAATAATTGTTAATAAGTCTGATTATTCTGAGATCACAAGGCGATTAAACCATGCAAACAATTGATTTTTGTCGATTTTTTTAAATCAAGATCAATCTAGATCTGTTTAAAACTAATCATCGAGCAGTTCTAGCGAACTTTTCACAGGTGGGTGTGGGTGTGGGTGGGTGTGGGTGTGAGTGTGGGTGGGTGTGGGTGTGGGTGGGTGTGGGTGTGGGTGTGGGTGGGTGTGGGTGTGGGTGGGTGTGGGTGTGGGTGTGGGTGGGTGTGGGTGTGGGTGTAGGTGTAGGTGTAAGGGTGGGGTGTGCCAGTGAAGGTGTGGATATGGGTTATTGTAGATCATGTCTTTATCAATCACATATATGCCTATGCCTACAGTCACATCTATTCATACCCGCCAGACACTCATACCCACACCGTTATACATTAAATTATGTAGTGATGAAATTCTTTTCTGTTGAATATTCTTGGAGGTCACATTTCAGAGACTTTTATAGATATTTATGAGTTAAAGAATTTTATGGAGATGTATTGATAGAACCAAACATACCTTATGATAAACGGATTTAAGCTCCGTTCGAAATGCATCATCGTATGATGGCTTGGTTTCTTTCTATAAATATTAAACACATCGACACTCACACCCTCTAAGTAGATATAGTATTAAGTGATCTACCTGATGAAGTTCCGCCAAAAGAGAAACAACTATGTCGTGGAACGGTGATATTTCTTATCACACACCCACACTGATAAGTGAAAGAAATCTTTGATATTTATTTCAAAAAAACTTCATTGTAAGTAGATATTGACTTGTATTTTCGACTAAGATTATTCTTAAGTTTATTCTACTAGAAAATTTTATTGTGTAAGTGTTCCAATAATTTAATTTTTCTGTCGAAATTAATAATTCAAATGTTACTCTACTTTTCTAGAATTACATTCCTATATAGATATTATATTAAGTATTCCACCTGAAGAAGTTCCACCACGACAGAAACAACTGATGTCGTGAAACGGCTGGTGTGGGTGTAGGTGTGGGTGGGTGTGCATCAGTGCCAGTAACTGGGCCCCAGTCGGACTGAGTGCCCAGTCCGACTGGGTGTCCAGTCCGACTGGATACCCAGTCCGACTGGGACCCAGTCACGACTGGGTACTTAGTCATTTGACGTTTATTCCACTAATCGATCAGTACTTCCCTCTTTTCTAAGGGTGTGGGTGTGGGGGTTGGTTTGATGTTGGTATGGGTGTTGTTATTGCCATTCTAACCATTCTCGCATCCAAACAACATCCACACCCATATCCATCCAAACAACACCCACACTCACACCCACCCACCCACATCTACACCCTCGCCATACCCACACCCTGAAGACATGAAATTCATTTATAGTATTCTAAATTATAAGGATTAATATATAGAAATATATGATTAGCCAATGGATTCAGTATCATAACTTATATCACTACTTCAACAGCCTAAAAATCACTGTATGACAATATACTAGAAAAGAAAGTACTACTCGACTAATGGACTAAAGATCAAAGGACTCAGTACCCAGTCGTGACTGGGCCCCAGTCAATGACTGAGTATCCAATCGGACTGGACATCCAGTCCAAGTAGAGCCCAGTTCACCAGTCAGAACTGTGACTGGTGCATCCCTAGGTGTGGGTGTGTGGGTGTGTGGGTGTGACAGTTGTTCTGTCCTTCAACAACACAGCTATACCGACGCTGGCACCCACCCACACCCACACGACACACACCCACCCACACCCACACGAC